TATGAAGTTTGATTTTCCTTAGCATTTGAATCTCAGAAACTTATAAATAAAATTCTTTCTAAACCAGCCTTACTCTGAAAAAAGAATAGCCTCTATATTCTGATGTAAGGAGCATACTATTTTAAAACTTATTGAATAGAAAATTTTTACATTTGGAAGGAATATTAGATATCATCTAATTCAGCTATCTAGTTACAAAAATTTTAAAAACCTAGGACAAGGCCTTACTTTTATAAATTTAGACAGATATCTTGGCCTAATTAGATAATTGTTTAACATTTTCTCCACTTTAAGGGTTTTTTTTTAATAAATTCACAATAGAATAGCTGTAATTAGTAAAATTTAAATTTTCCAATATCTTTGTCCATGTGACGATTGTTCACCACATGCAGTTAAGAAAGAATACCATGTGCAAATATCATAATAAGGATGTAGTTAATGAACAAGGCATACTTAATTATCAATTTTTCTCTCTTATTTCCATTTAAAATAGGAATAGAGGAAGGATTCAATAATTTATTGCTGGTTTCTGAAATATTTGGCAATCGTTACTAATGGAAGCCTCATTTTAACTTACTAAAATATTTTCTTAGTTACATGGTATTTAAACCACAGTTTGTGGAAAGCTGATCACCTAATATTCCTTCCTTCAAAAATTCCTCTATGTTTACATTTATGCTACAAGCATTTATTGAGCACTCATTGTATGTCAGACTACAGGAAGTCTCAAGTGATGCCACGCATGGATGTGAATGAGAGAAAGAAAAAGAAAGGTAATTTTCAAGTGATTTAATTTAGAACTAAGTTACAACTATTTCACGTTTTCACTGTTGGACTTAGGTCACTTTGAAGGAAGAAAAGCAAAAATGGGCAGATGCTGGGATTCCAACCTACAACTCAGATCTTTAAGTTAATTGTCTTGACTAGTCTTCCATACCCTATAATGCTTCTGTAGAATGCTGCTTTACCATGACTCTCTTGCCTCCCTCCCAGCTAGCTGAAAGCAAATCTTACTACAGATTATCTTCTGAGAGACAGAGATTGAATGAGAGACAAGGAAATGGGATTTAGGAGGGCAGGTCGATTTTGAAAAAGAATACCAAGGAGGAAAATATACAATTAAATATGAGAAATACATATCAACAAATGAGTAATTTGTATTAATTTGCAATAGTGAGTCATTACATTAATGAAATGCAATGTACTTTTTTCAGATATAATATACAAATGTATAAAGATGAATTCTCATAAGGTACCAAGTATTTGTAAATTTTTTATCTTTGGCCTTCCTTGGTTGTCCCTATAAGAATAGCAACATTTGTTGTGGAAAACATTTGTTGAGAAGTATCCTGATGTTTCTAGGAAGTTGCTTTCTAAATAAGGAGGAATAGTTAATGGTGTGGTGGGGTGGGGGCGGGGGGCACATGTGTGCATATGCCTGTGCCTTTAAGTGGAGGAGTTTATAAAGTGTTTCTCAATATTCAAAATTGCAGTCTATCCAATTTAAGACCCTCAATAAAAGAATAATTGAAAAAAATGATTCATCACAAATTAAAGATAGAATAGAGTGATTTTTTTGAGTATTGGAGTTAGATTAACTAAATTTCTTCCTACGTTATAAGATCTAATTTACTAAATTACATTAACATACAATTTATTCAACTTTTACAATATGAATTTCCCATAATGTAAAGTTTAGCTTAACTAATGTTTCCTAAGTATAATTGTAATGTAAAGCCCAGAGGTTCAAGATACACAATTATACTTAGATCACAAAGTGTATTTAAAAATCTATTAAAAATAATAAAAATAATATAGTTTTTTCCTAATGAAGTCCACATGTTCAAACTTAAATAAATAAAAATAAATCTGTAATGACTGTTTAATTGTACTTAAATGCATTATGAACTAGTTTTATTTATACTTCTGAAGATAACTAAAAACCACGTAAGGAAGAAAAGTATACAATACTCTTAAAGCATCATAAATAAATATTAGAATACTCTGAGAAAATGTGTAGAATATAATTATTCATGATTTATTCACACATACCCTGCTTTTTTCATATCTATTGTTCATATCAATTAGTAGTCATAGATACACGATCACGAAAATATCCAAAATATCTAAATTCACTATTTCCTATGATTCTTATAGTTGAAAAGTATGAAGCCATTGCCATACAATAATTAAAATTGAAATGATTTCAGTCAATATAAAAAGAATCATTGAAAATATCTCATTCTTTTACACAAGCCAAGAGCTTAAACTCTGAGAAGATAAAAGGTAATTTTAGTAAAAAATAAATTATAAAATCATCTGAAGGAGTAAGTTCACATCTCTAAGAGCCATTTCCAGTCTCTTGTCTACTTGAGGAAGCATTATAGAAATAATGAAACTAACATCAACATGCAGGCAAAAAGAAAGAAACAATCTATGTTCAAACCAGTTACCTGGTAGGTACTATTATTAGTGTGGATGTTTTATATTCTAGCCAATCTTCTCTCAATATACTGTGGCTATAAAAGCAATCTACAAACGTCATGAGTAATCAACACCTTTATACTACAAAGGGAAGAAAACTGTGAAGCTCAATGAAATCAAAGGGATTTGATCACTTAAATCCCCTGTATTGAAATTGATTTGATAAGGAAAAATGCCTAAGTAAATGTCAAATGCTTATCCAGAAATGTTTAATTTTTTTATATCATATGTTTTCTTGCTTTACCTACAAAACATCTTGTCAGATAGGCAACTCAGGTATAATTATCTTTATGTTTTAAATGAAGAAATTTAATCTCAGAAACTTGCATAATTGAACAAATTGAAATTGGGTTCCAGTGTTCCCACTTTATATTTCAGAGACTGAAGGGTCCCCTTTTCTTCAAAAATAAGTTAACAGAACTATTCTATTGAATTCTAAAATTTCTGGTATTCCCCAGGAGCCACAGTGAATTGAAAACTATTTCAATGTGATTATAAAGGAGTTTTATTTTGAAAATCCCAGGGAAATAAATCCTTAACCAATCTTTTTACTTAACTGATTTCTTAACATTAGTTTACTTATCTGCCACATAAGGGTTTGAAGGATTTTCTTGATATATTTATATCAAAAATTATAAATTTCTAATATTAGGATTTTAGGAATTTAATTGCATCTCACATTTGAAGGGAAAACAAATTGGACTTTGTTCTTGATGCAATTATTACTAGTTCTGATTTTATTTATTATGATAAATATAATAGTATTATCTAAAAGCAGAGATGTGGGGGAACAAAAATTAAAATTATTAGCTAACTTTGAGATCTCAGAGAAAGCACAACATCACTTTAAATGTTTTAAGTCTAATGTACCGCAGCATTTTTCTCAAGCATATTCTGAAGTGATCTGTATAGCATATAATGGTGCAAATAAAATGCCTGTCTATTTCATACCATTATTATTTATAACATTGAAATTTCAGACCTCTTGGGAGATTCAAAAGCTGAAGTCGTAATATAAACTCAAATAACTTACTTTTGCTGTTGCTTTTCTCCTTTGTTTTAACTTTTACATATTATTTTCAAACATAAAATAATTTTTACATAAACAGAATTGGATTATCTTTTTTCTTCAAACTATGGTCAGTGAGGTGGTGTCGAAATAACAAATTAAACAGAAATATATCTACCAGTTGCCCCAAATTATTTCCTTCTCAACAACCTCTAGCATTTCTCCTGATTTAATTAAGCAGTTTCGGGAGTTTTCTTGTTCTGAAATTATTCTCAAGATTTAGTTACACGAAAGAAAGACGAATCCAGATTTCTGTCTCACATTTTCCCTAGCACAGAGAAACATGCAAGGACAGTGATATAGAGCAATAGATTTAAAGGTAATTGTCTTCCGCCTGTCTGAATCCAGTGCTTTTATCCGCATGTTGTTGTCTTTCTAAAGAAGATAACGTCAACCTCCTTCATTTTTTTTTACCTTGCTCCACTGTCTTGGTTGTTTTCTCTTCCTTCTTTCCAGGTACAGCTGCGGAGCAAAGATAAGGTTTAAATAATAGTTCTAGACAGAAATACTGCATCTGCTCAAAAAATTGTTTCGGAACTCATCGATACCAAATATTTTTTTTAAACAAGCTATTGTAAAGCTTTTTAAACATTCTTGTCTCTCTATAATGCAACTAAAACCTGTTTTATATCTAATCTTAAAGAATTTGAAAACAAAAAGTAATAATCCATGGCCTTCCTCTATTTTTTTCTATACTCTTATCTACTTTATTCCTTATATTCTTCTTTGATAAACAAGCCCTGCAAAGAATTCCACTTGACAGGACTATGATTCATCTACTTATATTCCAGGTTGTTGCTGGAGTCACTTAGTGTCTTGCAAATGTCAACTAAATTCTCCTTTAAATTCAAGCTTAATGTGGCTTACTCAACTGAAAGAACAGTGTAGTCATGCTTGAGATTCATTTAAATATTAAATGAAGCCAACCCAAATCACTGGTAACCAAAAGACAATCCTTTAAGGGCCCTATCCCTTGAACTATGCTTTCTCCTAGATTATTGCTCTCAGTTGAGTATTCACTGTTTACTTATTTATACATCAAAACAGTAGAAATTATTCACACAAAATCAGTGCATCTCACTCAAATAATTCATTAAAGTAACAATATTCAGAGGACACTAGCAACCATTAGATGAAGCATTGATAGGGTACTAACTATGGCCATTGCACTCAAGTACCCCCTATACAGAGCTGCAAGGAACAAATACAACTTTAAAAAGAAGAAATGTGGCTGTCGCCAACTTAACCCTTGATGTAACTTATAACCATCCCTTCATTGTGAGACATCCAGACATCCTGTGGTTCCTGATAAGATGCAGTGTGGTGTGTAGAGTATTACCAATGAAGTATTCTTACCGAAGTATCCAACTAGAATCCAATTAAGCCAAATATTTAGCTTTCTGTTTAATAAAATGTGAGATATAGAGAACATGCTAAATAATATTCTGAAGAAACAGTCATACCAATAAAAAATGTCTACAAGGTAACTGGCCCTGATCTTTCAAAATGTCAATGTAATCAACCAGAAAGAGAGAGAGAGAAAGTGGGGAGGGAAAAAAGGAGAGAAGGAGGGAAGGAGAGAGGAGGAGAGAGGAAAGGAAAAAGAAGGAAGGAAGGGAAGAGGAGGGAAGGAGGGAGGAGGGAAGAAGCAAAAAAAGAAGAAAGAAATAAAAAACAGATGAATTTCGTCTTTGATTATATCTGGTTGAAAAAAAAGATACCCTAAATATCTGAATATATACTCATTAGAAATAAACTATATTTCCAAGAAAGTAGCCTATTATGTTACCCAAGTCATGGCCCTCCAAATAGAGTAAACCATATAACACTGAAATGAAAAAGATGTTAAACTAAAAAGCAAAAATATTAATATATTTATGAGCCTCACAAATTGCACCTGTAGAGAAATATTATGTAACAGAAGA